TGGTGACAAATTGCTCAAGAAGAAGTGTGTGTGTATGTGTGTGTGTATGAGAGAAAGAGAGAGAGAGAGTTTGTGTGTGTTTGTGTGTGTGTTGTTGAGTTGTATTTTAGATATTTATTATATATTATTTTGTTTTAAAATGAACTGAAATAGTGACCTTCAAACGTCAACTTCATCCAAAAGAAAACTTTAAAAACCTGCCGACAAAGGAACTTCATCGGCCACACAACAGACATTCACCTAGTTAAAAATTTCTTTCTGTAGAAAATTAGTAAACAATGAAAAGATTGCTCGCGCTGAATGCTCAAACTGTCAGACGAAACCACCGCACATTATTGCACACACAACACAACCTTCCACATGTTTGCTTGAGCAGTTGAAAGAACTTTTCATAAAAATCACAAAGAACAGAAACAAGTATTTCTTATTCCACTTATTTAATTGCCTGTTGAAAACATTACTTTTATCAACAAGCTCATGCATTCTTCATTCTCACGCAACAGAACCACTGTTTGTTAAAAAAGAAAAAGCTTAATAAACCACTAGTCATATATACATAGTTTTAAAGTTATTGAAAATTTAACATTGAAAACATTTTATTAATTTCTGACATATTCAACGTAAAGTTTCAGAAATTGTCAAAATTTCTATAAAAATTTTTAGACATGGAGTTCAGTGTAGAAGTTGATTGATGTGTTGCCTATTATTTTATGATTGCAGACATCAACCTTAAAAATTTAACTGTCTTAAATGAAATCTTTACATTTGTTTGACTGCATTCATATCTGTTGATATTGGCGATTTTAACTATAAACATTTCTTTATTTGGTAATTTATCACAATTTTTTTTTTGAAAATAAATATAAAAATTGTTGAAATATATAACAAATTATTTCAGATTATATGGTTTAATAACAATAGAACTTTTTGAACATTTTAACAAGTTCTTTTATGTTCTTTTTGAATGTAGGTTATGTCTGTTTAATCAAATTGCATATCTCCTCCAGATAAGAACGCATTGAATGAA